AAAGCACTGATAATATAAAAGTCCAGAGAGTTGGAACAACATGAATTGTCATTGTTAGCAACAGTTTGCAATTACAGTTTGACCATAATGGTCTAATGGAAGATTTTTTCATCTTCACTCAAATTCTTACCTATTTTAAATTTGCAGTCGTTGCATTTCTATGAAACACAATGTGTCAAAATCTACTGCCATAGAGTAAACATGGTGGCTTTGGCAGTGGACCTGCCCATCCAGAGGACATGTCTAAGGGACAGTTTAATGAAGCTGCCACATGGCAGACGGAAACACTATCTAACTCAGATCAGGGTTATCAGTATTATTATTTTAGTTCTATCCTGCTTTATACTCCTTCGCATTGTTCAGCAAGTAGAAAACAGGAAAAACATAAGATGGGAACACAATCTGCTCTATCAGGAACGATGAAGTTCAAGATACCAGGCGGTTTTGTTTTACTTTTTTTAAGTATTCATCCACACATGCCACTGGACATTCTCATGCAGAAATACCTTCATGAGAAACAATAGGAGATATTTTCTGGCAAAATACATCTTGTGATCTCATTTTAAAAAGGATCCATCCCACAACACAGAGTTCGTCTAGATACAAAAGCTACACCAACATCACCTTGAGTGCAAATTTGTATTCTTACCCATGAGCATAAGAAGTCGAGTGATAACTTTTACTTGAAAAGGAGACTGTATTTGGAGTTTAGCTTACATAATTTCATAATTAACATTTAAGAAAAGAAACCAACAAACCCAAGCTCTCATTTCTTACTGTTCTGACATTACTGGCTAAAACCAGACATTACTGCCAAAAGAGCCTGGTGAGGAGCCATACGTGGCTTGACTTGAGTGGGGCTGCTCAGCCCCACCACTGTTCACGCAGCTGAACGAGCACGAGTTCAAAGCCCAAAGCCACAAAAAGGCTTTAAGGAAAAACACCAACCAATAATATATATAAACAGCAGCTGTTTGATGTTCAGCACTTCTACTTTGGCGTTGTTCCCCCCCACCCTTCCCCGTGTAGTAACACCACTCCCCGCTCTGGTGACCCGGTAGTCGCTGCTCTGCTCTGCTTGACCGGTCACAAACAAAAAAACAAATTAAAAAAATAATTATTTTTTTTCACTATTTCATACTCTGACGGTGAAGGTTAAGAGACGGATGGGCAAATACCTGAAACCCAGTGTGTTAAGTGCACTTTTATCAGCGCTCTGCTCTGCACGCTTTGAAGCCAGCTGGCCACGGGGGGCTACTGTGGGGACCCAGGACACCACTCCCACCGCTGGCGGGACACGGGTGTCGTGTGCCCTCCCCGCCACCTCACACTGGCAGGACACGGGTGTCGTGTCCCCCCCCCCTTCCACCTCACGCTGGCG